AAAGATTAGAGGAACTGAAATATCAATCTACGGAGTGGATTATATCAATCTAAAGGAGCAGTGTCAGGCTGCCATTTGTATCGTCACTTTTTCTTTGGTTTTAATCCGCTCTTCAAATTTGGGATTCCGAGTTTTCCAGCAAATAAATTATACAGATGTATGGAAAGGCAGCGTGATGTCTCACCCTTTTTCAAATTTTAGCTTTTACTTTTTTGCAATATTTATTGTCAATATTAATGAACGATATTTTCTTCCTGCCCGTAAAGCAGGTCCAAGTCAAACCTCCATTTCTTTTTCGAACTATCTTCCTCATTTTATTGAAACTATTGCTGGAATTTTCAGTCAAGTCGAAGTCTACCTCGCGACCTCGCCCCCTCAGGATAGTTGGAGAGGGTTCGAGAAATCTGGTGCAAAAGAGCACCAGATATCCCAAGGGAGCAGGAAGGAGGAGGAAGGATTGAAGTTGTGTTTAGCCCATTTCAGTGGAACCTATTAAGGCTCAAATAAAAAAAAAATAAAAAAATTTTTAAAAAAAAAATAAGTTATAAAAAAAATAAATAAATTAAAAAAATAAAAAAAAAATTAAAAATTATTTAACGATTCTAAGACTACGTTGAATCGGTGAATATTCTTCCCCCTTCCAAATAGCAGGAGCCCACTCCATCAAGTTGCTCTTGCGGTCCTTCCACCGAGAGCCCCCTCTTTAATGCCTGAGCCTGAATCCAATACCTTGGTTCCATAATCCATTCATTTTTGCAAGATACTTTATTATTTTCTTTAAAAATGATTTTTATTTGTTTTTAATTATTGCAGATTTTGCTTCAAGACAGTGGTGTCTTTGAGATGTTGACTCTGGCACAAGAACTTGGGGTGGATGAGTTGCGAACCAGCTGCGAGGATCATGTAGCCTCAACCCTATCTGCCTTGAATGCGTGTACCTTTCTAGCCGCTGCTATAGACATTCAAGACAGAATTGCAGGTAAGCATCAATACTGTGGGAAGTGATGGTTTTTCGATACGGTGAACTGTGCCAGTGCCATCGGCGCAGCTATGCCCAAGTTGCATTTTTGAACGGAAAAATCGCGATATTTCGCAATTAAATTGCGATTTTTTTACGATTTTATCACCAATAAAATCGCCAAAAAAGGGGTTTACGCTGTTAGCCAATTGAAGTTAGGTTCAGCCGTCAGGTCCTCTGACGAAGACGAGCGTAAAATCCCCGGAGCCTCCGCGGGGATACGAACCCCAGTCGCGGCGGTGGTAGGCCAGTACATTGCCACCAGACTATGGCCGCTTTATGACTAACGAGTTCGAATTGAAGCCTCTTATACATGGATCGGCGCTTCGCATCCTTACAACTTTTGTCATTGCGTTGACGGACACCGAGTTTTCATTGGATTTTTATTTTATTTTCCCTCCTCTGTATTTTATTTCATACCTTGAAATACGGTTGGTAAAATAAGGTTCTATTGGTAATAAATCTCATCGTTCTGTCTCGGTAAAATTACCAATAATAGTGAGATGGCAAAGTTACCGATGGACCTTGGTGAAAACGCCAACATTTTTTATCGACTATGGTAGAATTACCGAGATAAAATGGTAAAGTTACCGGAAATTGTGTACCAATAAAAGTGGTACATATTCCTACCTGAAAAAACCAGAAAAAATACCGGTTTTTAGGTAAGCTTACCAGTCTCTCTTGGTAACATTACCAATAATTGGTAAAAAAAGTGAGATGGTAAAGTTACCAACGGACCTTGGTAAAAACGCCGAGAATTTATTCTCAGTGTGGGCGTACCTCCCACCATCCAAACCCCGCGCTCAACCTCGTATCGAGTCGTTCTTGCACCTCCGCTAAAGAACATCTATCACAAGCGTCATTCATATGTTATTGGGCGTTAATGAGAAATTGCAATTTTATCTCTACAAAATCTCGTTCGATGAAATCGCACTTTATCGCGATAAATCGCCGTCGATAAAATCGCGATTTCATTGCAATTTAATGCGATGAAATCGCAGTTTATCGCGATTTTTTATCCGATAATATTGCAATAAATCGACGTCGATAAAATCGCTATACATTCTCCGATTAAATCGCAATTTATCGCGATCACTGCTACTTGGGTCGAGAGGCCTTTGAAACCATTGCTGGGCTTAGACATGCAGCCACTGCCATGAAAAACCAATGACGAATCCGCTTATGGCCACATTTGGTTTATATCTTCCTTTGCGGGATCGCCCTCAAACACCATGATGAAACATATTACCTATCCGTATGATCCAACCTAACATAAAAAGTATGAGAAATATGCACGATAAAAGTATAGTGTAAGCACATTAAAATTCACTCTTGAAGCTTTGCATCGAACATCATTAATCAAACGTGTGTTTCTCTTTTTTAGGTGGGAAAAACGCCCAGAATTTTGTCGACCGCTGTATATCGTATATAGGAGACAATGCAGTGGAATGTGTGAAAACGAATTCATTCTTAAACTTGCCAAAAGATGCCTTAATTAAATTAATATCTTCGGATTGTGTAAGTTCAAATTATTCTTCATGTATATTTTTGTAAAGATACAAGTGCCCTACTTATCTTGCCGGGTAGTCGTTTATAGGTGGTAATTGGGTTATACTTCCGAACCATGTAAGAGAGAAGGGGCTGCATAAGTGATGGGGTACGATGGGGGGCGATGGGGTGAGGAGCGGTGTGTCAGTGCAGCAGTGCTTATGTTTTATGTTTGGCATATCTCTAGTGTATTTTCCGAAGAAGTACTACTCTATTCTATTGCATTCTCTTATGATGTCGGACCCAGACCTGAGACCTTGTGAAGAGCACTAATCACGGGTCGAAGATCACGAAAATATATGTTACTCCAAATTCATTTGTATTTATGTATAGGTATGTATGTATGGTTGGTTGGTAGATACGTTTATTTGGTACTTTTAACATTTGAGCCATTAGCACCTTAGAGGAGAGATCAAAATAGTGTAGTACAGACTTTAAACATTTAAAAGGTAGGGGTCACAAAAGGATTGTACCTACACAAAAATAAAAGTTAGGATAAGAAAAGAATACATTAAAGGAGGGGTGGCGATTTGGGCCATTTCCGGCCCCACCTAATCCGGGACTTTTTTTG